CTGTCAGATACCCACTCAGGATTTTACCTGATAAGTGATAAAAAAAAGATTTATCACTTTTTCTCATGGGCTCCATGCTGATAAACTGAGCTATTTATATGAAGTAACTAGATCAGCTCACATAGTCTATATATATCACTGTAGTAACGTTACTGTTCTTAGCCTACAAAGAGGGGACAGATACTTTCCCTGTATGTATTCCTCCCAAATTACCTCCCCCTCAGATCCCGAGGGTCGTAATACACATTTGTAAATGAGGAATGTAAAGTTAACATGCTACACTTTCAGTTACACACAATTAAAACTCCCTCATGCTCAGCACTTCTACTTTGAATAAGTGCTCCATCGGGAAATGATGGAGTAGACACATAACAGCTCAAAATCATTGGTTTGAGCCATGATTTACTGGGGATATGTTGTGTGCTAGCTATGAACTTAATGTCTTCATTTTAAAGTTTATCTTATTCTCGGCTGTTATACAATGAACTAAAAAGTCAGCTAGGTAACACAGGTAAAATCACTCTTTATGTTGGGTTTTTTAATTTGATATTGTATATAATAAATATTTTATAAGTGGAAGAAAATGCCATAAAAATAAGTTATGTGAAGACAACCTTTCCTAAGCGACAAAGGAGAAATGCCATCTATGGAGACCACCATGTGAACCTTTCACTATTAGGCTTTTATGTCCATGTAAAAAAGTGTGTACATATGTTCCGTGTGTGTGCATGTGGGTGTGTGATCTGACTTTCCTAACCATACGCACAGAAACTGGAGATCATCACTCCATGGTCCTTAAAGAACCTTTCTTATTTACTCCTTTAGCCCCAGAACCCATACTAGGTCTCCTCCATACTCTATAGGCATCACTTTTATTTTCTTTTTTTGTTTTGTTTTCTGTTTTTTTTTTTGTTTTGTTTTGTTTTGTTTTTGAGGCAGGGTTTCTCTGTGTAGCATTGGCTCCTGTCCTGGAGCTAGCTCTTGTTGACCTGCCTCTGCCTGCTGAGTGTTAAGATTAAAAGGCGTGAGCCACCATAGCCTAGCCGCATCCATTTTTGGCAGAAGTGGGAGGAGGTAATGATATTTTCCTTTATGATGGACATGCTCATGTGCAATGCATAATATTGATTTTGTGAGTTATTTTTCTGATAGTATTAGAGATAAAGAGGGAGAGATTGAGATGAAACAGATTCTGAAAATGGGAGGGACAAAAGAAGTGCAATGAGACCCCTCAGCTTTCCTATGGTGTAGCCAGAACCGAGACCTCAGTCCTTCAAAACTGCCAGGCTTCACTTCCGTAGTTTGAAGTCTGAGAAAAAAGTGCAGGAAAAAAAAATCCAGAAAAGATCTCAGTGTGTTCCTGATATTTGAGTGGACAAATGCTGAATTGATCCAAAAACTCAACATTGGATTAAAACTTGATAAATTCTTAATCTTCTTCAAAGGCCACACAATGGCTATGAAGAGGCAGAAGGGAAGTACTTCTCAAATTCAACTTTCAAGGACTAAATTTAGCACCCACCACACTAAAGTGCTTAATATTGCAAGGCTGATGAATTTGATAATGACGGAGAAATGTCATCAATCTGACAAACTAAACAACTTTTCTAACCTGACATAGACCCGTTCAACACATCAGCTGTCATCCAAAAGGAATTCTGTTCCTAATTTCTCTTCATAAATAATGCAGCTAATTGAAAGGTAGTTACAATGAAGTCTTTAACCTCCTTCTCCAGTATGAAGGCAGTCAGTCTCTCTGCATTTCTTAGAAGTTTCTCCTCTTCACATGCAATGAAACCCAGACACCATCAGAGCACTGAGAGAAAACAAAGAAGCCCATTGTGCGAAGGCCGGCACATCTAATGGTTTTCTCATTTTCAAGGTTTTAAATTCAGCATTATCTTAAAAGACAGAGCTCATTAATGGCTCTTGCAAGGATGTTTAAGCTCAGAGATTCACTAAGGATACCACTTCGAAGCTTCTTAGCTGTGTATCTATATCATCCTTGTTGCCCAATGTCTTCATATTTGTAATAAATTAAAATATAACAGTGACATTGAAATACATGTAACTGAAGTACGACAATGTGATATCCACATAAAACTGTATAGTAGAGGACTGTTACTCTTTTCCTTCATTTAATGGGACCAAAGAGGAGATAATAAATAAAGACACTTTCTGACTTTTCCAAGTAAGTAGCATGGAGCCCTGAGTGTTCTTAAGACTGAAAAAATTAAAAGCCTCCTTTTTCTGAGGCATTTCTTTGTGGACATCTGTGATTGCATTTGTTTATTTCTGGGGGAAAATATGAATCGTCTTAGGTGCGGAAGGTGCAAAGGAGGGAATGCATTTAAGTTTTCAGTGGCTTCATTATCTCGTCTCTCTGAGAAGACTGACTTCAGCAAACACACCAGAGGACAGGTATGCTTATAAACAGATAGCCGAGATGAACATTTTTCCGAGGCTGGTATTAACAATGGAAATTCAAGACAATTTAAGTGGTATGCCAACTTATATCCAAAGCTTTACAAGTTACTAAAAATGTGAATTACATAACCACATACTAAAAGTTTAGGTGATTTTCATTAGTCTCTGTTCCCTAGTTGTTCAAAGGTAATGACTGGAAATAGATGCTGTCATTTCATATTACCATTATTTAGGTTCTAATATATATGTCAATAATAAGACAATAGCTAACTGAAAAGTACACAGAGATTATATATATATTGGTTTTTCGAGACAGGGCTTCTCTGTAGCTTTGGTGCCCGTCCTGGAACTAGCTCTTGTAGACCAGGCTGGTTTTGAACTCCCAGAGATCTGCCTGCCTCTGCCTCCCAAGTGCTGGGATTAAAGGCGTGCGCCACCACCGCCCGGCCCCCCTAGGCGAGATGCTATATTTTATAACAGAGGACATTGCCAAACAAGCAGTCTCCGCCTACAATGAACCGTGTGTGCACGTGTGTGCACATGCATATACAATTTTATATGTGTATTTGTATGTATGTGCTTGTGAAGGCCAGAGGACAGGGTAATAGCTCAGTCACTACAATGCTTGCCTTACAAAGATGAGAAGCAGAGTTAAATGCCCGAACACATTTAGAAATGTGTGGCATGGTGGTGTATACTTTCACTTCACATCTGGGCTGCTGAAGAGACAGGCTAACCCCTGGGACTCACTGGGGCTCATCTAGTTGGTGACTCTCAGCCAACGCGAACATCTACCTCAAAGGCAATGCACAGAGTTTTTGAGGACAGTGCCAGAGGTTGTCCCCTGACCCACATACAGAGCAGAAGCTAAGTTGCTGTCATAGCAGCCTCATGTATAGGCAGTTAGATGTGGCTCCTAAGGACAAGAAATAGGTGGGGTAAACCATAATATCCCAATTCAATGAAGTTCAATTTTGCCCAAATGTCATTAACACAATAACAATGATGGCAAAGGGGAGAAGAGCGGCTAGTTGGAGCAGCTACTTATTGCTAAGAGTTTAGAAAACTAATTTTACACCCAGACAAAAGTTAGCTACGCTTGCTGTTTATTTTGCCTTTCCACCAAGACCCAATATTACTGACTCATATAAACCATTACTTCAAAAATGATTTTACTTTAGAGAAAACTTTCACTGGCTTAAGTTTGTCCTTTCCCAACAAATATTGCATTTGCATACATCTGCCCCTGCTGCTCCTGCACAGCTGTGGATTGGGCTGCAGTTTGAGGGGATGCTAGTAGCACATGACCTAGGAATGGAAATGCCATTGATCTTGCAAAAACAAGAGGATGTTTCCATTGAATAAATCTGCTGGGGCAACTGACCTGCTCCAAGAGCTTTTCGCGACCACCATCATGCTGATTCGACTTCCTAGCTATTAGGGTCTGCCTTCTATTTGTGCCTTCATCTGACTTTGAAAAGGGACCTCTCTTCCCTCTTGCCCCTCTCTGTCTGTTCTTTCTCAGTTTCACAGCCTGCTTGCTACCATCAAGAGCAGATCATGACTAGAGCATCCTTGTCTGCTTGCTGATCTCGTCTCCCACCTGCCAGAAAGGGCAGAAGGCGTATGTGCGCCCACGCTACTTCACATTGTAAAATACTTTGTAAGCTACCAACAAGAGTTAGGTAAGGATGGAATGGTTAATAAAACTTATATAAACAAAGTAAGTAATGAAAGTGTCCTATACCAGGTGCTAAGTTATTAATTACTTTAACCAGGGAACTCAGATAAAAGCGGAACGTATCCTTATGTCAGAAGAAAATCATAACTCGCTGAAAAATAAAAACACTTTTATTTAGACTATTTCAGAGAAAACAAGGAGTCTTGATAGTCTTATGAGGAAAAGCGTTCTTAAAACTCTATTTCTTTCTTTTCATTTCCAAAAGTAGCATTTACTTATTTCAGGAAATCCATAATCTTGAGATCATGTAAATGAATAGATGAATGATCATTTTACTGCTCCAAAATTACATTTCAGTACATTTTGTGGCAGAATGAATATGCTGTAACCTATATTAAATATGTGTAGTCTTAAGTGCACTTGGGTAACTTTAAGTTATTTGGAATATAATCTTTATAATTTTGTTGATGTCTGAGTTTTAGTCTTGAATTTATTTCTGACTACAGTTCTACATGAGATCACCGTACCTAGTAATTATCATGATTTAAGTTACCCCATCATTTTAGTTTGGTGTCATATTTGTTTGTATAAGTAATAAATAACAAATTTATACTCCACCAAATATGCCCAAAATTATACAGTATAGAAATAACCACATATGTGGAGAATCAAGTTATGCTTGTAAATCTTAATCTCTGCACTTCTTTCTCCATCTTTGTCTATCTGTTAATAGCAAAATGCCTTTTGTATTCTAGAAGGTAGAACTGAACTCGAATGCCACCAGCTTCTATAGATATTTTTTATAATAGAAAAATCTCTCTCCTCTGCCCCTCGCATGGGCAGGTCGATTTTCATTGAAAATGGCTTCAAGCTGGCTCTAATATTTACTCACTTATGCAGGTGCGTTCGTCAGCATGGCGTCTGTACCCTGTATCACACACGCAGTGGAAGGTGCCCAGAGTGTTAATACAGCGCTGCTGGCAGCCTCCGTTCACCACCGCACACTCATCGATGTCTAGAGGAGGAAGACAGATGGCCAGGATTACAATGTCACTCCAATGTCAACGTTAGAGAAGTGGCACAAATATTTCTTTGATTCACAGTATGTGTTATATTGTACAAAAGCACCATCTCTGTTACCACAAATCTATGCTTGTTTGATCCATTTTGCTCCACATTGTAAACAACAAAATAAAGATAGAAATGTAATTGAGGATTTGTTGTTGTTGCTTCTTTTATTTTAGAAGAGCAACCATGAGCATTGTGATTGTCTCACGATTTTCTGTTCCTCATGCATTGGCTAACTAGACAGATCCGAGATAAAGATATTTCTTTGGGGAAGGAAAACTGAGAGAATTACAATGAGCTAGTCTCTCTGGAGAAGCACACACTAGTAGATAAACACCTATTCTTGGCCTGACAGCGCTGAATAAAGCCAGTAATGGAGTTAAGACCTTGAGTCTCCTTCTCATGTGCTACAGTAGACATCAGAGCAAAGACAGATGACTCAAATGAAACCATGGCTTAATGTTCTCAGAAAAACATCAGTACATTGCTTCCCACTAATTTAGCTTCTTGTTCAAGTGGCTGTTACCTAAAACAGTGTGTTTGTATAAAACACTGGTTATTAACTTATAGAATAAAATGGAAAATAGTCAAGAAAAATTTACAATTACCTACCTTTTATTATCAGTAATAAATACTACCAAGATGCACAAATATAATATTGATTACTCGCTGAAAAGAAATTTCATTTCCCAGCACTTACACTTTATTGTGCCTCAAGCAATCACTACGTCCATATTTAAAATTACAAGACAACAAGTTTCAGGTCGTCTATGAATTAAAAAAAGAAAGATTCTAAACTTTCTTATTTGGTGATTTGTACAGGTGGAAATGAGGGGTGAGAGTGATAGCTAGTGCCTGTAATCCCAGAGGTCTGGATTGTAAAGCAAGAGAAACCTAAATCCAGGTTAATCTAGGCTATAAAACTGGGAGGGAAGAAAGAAGGAGGGGGCAGGAAGGTGGCATGGAGGGAGGCAGAGAAAGGAGTAGGGAAGGGAGCAGGGAGGCTGCAGAGAGGGGGCAGGAAGGGGCAGGGAGGAGGCAGGGAGGTGGCAGGGAGGGGGCAGGGAGGGGGCAGGGAGTGGGCAGGGAGGAGGCAGGAAAGGGAGCAACAGACTTCTGAAAGGATCAGAGTAACAGCTATCTCCTGGCTTGGGGCGTGGATATCAGGCGGGAGTTAGACTCTTATTGCCCTTAAACTGAAACCTTCTGGAAAAGATATTTTATGTGAATAGTCTTTGCTAAAGTATGAGTCACTCATTGGAAAGTTCATTTTCTCAGAAGGAACACAGAAAGCTACGACAATGACCATCTCTACATATCCCCATGTCAAAACCCCAAGATTGGTGAGGAATATTTGACCAAAGGTAGCAAAAAGGTTTTCATTTGCTAGGCATTGACTTTGTCTTTTCTCAAATAAAAGTGGCAGTATATTTTCCACAAATTGGCATATCTTTTGAAAAATAAAATATTTTGGATGAAGTCCTAATATTCTGAAAGTAGATTCTATTTCAGTGACAAGAATTACTAATGTGACAAAATGTGAGAATTTTTATTGCATTCTGAGTCTGTGGTAACCTAGTCTGTTGGTCTTTTTCATATAAAATAACGCTATATCAGAGTTTTCTATTTGTTGCCTATTCTTTGTGCAGGGATTTAATATCTATACAGGTTATGTTTTCATCTTTTGTCTTTGGAATGTTATTCTTCAGAGCTGAGATATAATTCTGAATCTTGACTGTCAATCTCTAGATTAGACATTCTTCCCAGGTCTTTCACTTTGGACATATAAATAAAACCCAAGCATAATATACTTTACATGATAAATGACATTACAACTATCATTAATCATACAGCAATGTTTTATTTGTGTATATATAAACTGAAAAGGGTCTTAAAATACATAAAAAGGCAGAAATTATTTCTTCTGAGGTGGGCAGACAGGTGAATTCCATAACAGAATGGGCCTTCCTTTGATGGCATAGAGCATAAGACAATTCTTTTAAAGCTTTTTTTTTAATTTTATTGTCAGTGTGTGTATTGCCTGTATGTATGTCTCTGGCTCATGAGCATGCAGTGCCCACAGAAGACTGCATCACGTCCCCTAGAACTGGAGCTACAGGTGGCTGTGAGCCGCCATATGGGTGCTAGGAACAGAAACACAGTCCTCTGCTCTTAACTGCTGAGCCATCTCTACAGGCCCTAGACAAGCTTGTTTCACCATATCTCTGGGCTCAAGTTTGTTATAGGAGAGAAAGCCACATAGATGCTACTTGTGTATAAAAATGTAACTTTAAAATAAAGTTTACCTGATAACTGCCCTCCTATGACTTACTCAGAAAGTTTTAATACTTTCTCACCAAAGATGTAATGAATCTTTTTTTTTCAGTCACTGACTATGCTCCCAAGATATAATGGTATAGACTTGACAATGAACTTTCTCTACAAAAGCTTTGAAATATTTATATTCTTAGTCAGCCTGTAACTGTGCACTCTGGTGTCTGTACGTATGCACACACATACACACACACACACACACACACACACACACACATGCACACACACACACTATCAAATAGCCTCTGTTCTTTGAGTGAGATAGTCAGATAGTCTTGGGAAAAAATATTCTTTTTTTTCTTTCAAGGTTTTCTTTTATATTGATTTTAGTGAGCACTACATATTTCTCTGCTCCCCTTCTACCTTCTCCCATGGTCCCCCCTGCCCCAATTTACCCAAGAGATCTTGGCTTTTTCTACTTCCCATGTTGATTAGGTCCATGTATGTCTCTCTTAGGGTCCTCATTGTTGCCTAAGTTCTCTGTGATTATGTATTGTAGGCTGGTTTCCTTTGCTTTATGTCTAAAAGCCACTTATGAGTGAGTACATATGATATTTGTCTTTCTGGATCTGGGTTACCTCACTCAATGTGATGTTTTCTAGATCCTTCCATTTGCCTGCAAATTTCGAGATGTCATATTTTTTCTGTTGTGTAGTAGTACCCCATTGTGTAAATGTACCACATTTTCTTTTTCCATTCTTCAGTCGAGTGGCATTTAAGTTGTTTCCAGGTTCTGGATATGACAATGCTTCTATAAACATATTTGAGCACACATCCTTGTGGTAAGATTGAGCATCCTTTGGGTATATACCCAAAGTGGTATTGCTGGGTCTTGAGATAGGTTGTTTTCCAATTTTATGAAAAATCACAATATTGATATCCAAAGGGGCTGCACCAATTTGCACACCCACCAGCAATACAGGAGTGTTCCCTTTACCCCACTTCCTCTCCATCATAAGTTGTCATTAATGTTTTTGCTCTTGGCCATTCTTACGCGTGTAAGATGGAATCTCAGAGTTGTTTTGATCTGCATTTCTCTGATGGCTAAGGTTGTTGGGCATTTCCTTAAGTATCTTTCAGCCATTTTAGATCCCTCTCTTGAGAGTTCTCTGTTTAGGGCTGTGCTTCATTTTTTTATTGGATTATTTGTTCTTTTGATGACCAATATCTTGAGCTCTTTGTATATTTTGAAGATCAGCCCTCTGTCCGATGTGAGGTTGATGAAGATCTTTTCCCATTCTGTAGGCTGCCGTTTTGTCTTGTTGACCATGTCCTTTGCTTTACAGAAGCTTTTCAGTTTCGGGAGGTCCCATTTCTCTCAGTGTCTGTGCTACTAGGATTATATTTAGGAAGTGGTCTCCTATGCCAATGCATTCAAGTGTACTTCCCACTTTCTCTTCTATGAGGTTCAGTGTGGTTGAGGTCTTTGATCCATTTGGACCTGAGTTTTATGCATGGTGATAGATATGGATCTATTTTCATTCTTCTACATGTTGATGTCCAGTTATGCCAGCACCATTTGTAAAATATGCTTTCTTTTTTCCATTTTATACTTTTTGCTTTTCAAAAATCAGGTGTTCATAGGTGTGTGGATAAACATCTGTGTCTTCTATTTGGTTCCATTGGTCCTCCTGTTTGTTCTTATGTAAATACCAGGCTGTTTTCAGTACTGTAGTTCTGTAGTAGAGTTTGAAGTCAGGGATTGTGATGCCTCCAGATGTTCCTTGAGACTGCTTCCTCATCCATAAAACAGGGTGATAAGGGGTTTCCTGTGTACCATGCTATGGTTTATTGTTTCATTCTAACTTGTTCATGCCTGTCATTCTGGAACAGATGACTAATTCTTGACATCACTGTAGATACCAAATGACAGGTCGTTTTGTGTCTGTCTAGTGCAGTTAACAATGTAAGATCTTGAGGTGAGGCTGGGATAGGAGAGGAGAGCAACAGAATTCAGAGGGGGAACTGTTAGGCTTGATGTAAGTAGCAGGGGCAAAATGAGAACTGCCTGGAAGTGCTGGGCATTCAGAGTGGCAATAAATGCAACGCATACATTTAGATCTGTCAGGCTAGACATCAGTGTTTGAACATGAGATAAAGTTGAAAAACAAACCCCAAAGCCCCTTTCTTTAGTTAGATAGTAATGTGTTCCTTGTCTTAATTTACCACATAGTCTAGGGCAGGTTGAAACATAGCTGCCTGTGTTCACACAGCAGCCAAGCGAACTTATTAAAAGTTAAAAATGCGATCATTTGTGAAGGGTCACCAAACATTAAGATATTGGCTTGACTTTTTCCTTTGTTATTTTCTTTTAGAAAACAGTAACTTTCCTGGCTGTTCCAACATTGTTAAATCAGTAGTTCTCAAACCTGTGTACACATTAGACCCATTTGGCACACATTTAAAAGTGCTGATGCTAAGGTTCCAACTTTAGTCTGATCTAATCAGTCTCCTTATTAGGTCTGGGAAAGAAAACAGTGTTAGAGCACACTCTAAGTGGTTCTAATGTGCAGCCTGAGCCAGGATCATCCGGTGTAGTTAAGGCTTTGATTACCCAGCGATGTTGTTAAAGGTGAATGCCAGTTCTCTGGCTCTGGGGCTCTGAGTTGAGAT